CTACTTTTAAGCAAACCAAGTTGGTTAGGGCAAACTACTAAATCACTCACAGTTGAATATTGAAGTTAGTGCTTATGTTGTCGTGTAGAAAGACGAAGAAAGCCTCATGATTAAACAATACAGTTGACAGAACGCAATACAATCAAGTGTAAAAACTTGAATTTTTGAATTACATTCATTCATTATATAGATTGTCAAACGTCGTGTTTTCCTCAGCTCAGTTATGAGGTTATAGCTTGTTGATGTAAACACTTGGGTCGTTTACGGGTTAGAATCATGAAATAAGTGTAGCTTATTGCTTACTGTATTAATAAGCATATAGTTGCTGAGTGAGTGAGTGAGTGAGTGAGTGAGTTGCAGAGTGAGTTGCAGAGTGAGTGAGTGAGTGAGTGAGTGAGTGAGTGAGTGAGTTGCAGAGTGAGTGAGTGAGTGAGTGAGTGAGTGAGTGAGTTGCAGAGTGAGTGAGTGAGTGAGTGAGTGAGTGAGTTGCAGAGTGAGTGAGTGAGTGAGTGAGTGAGTGAGTGAGTGAGTTGCAGAGTGAGTGAGTGAGTGAGTTGCAGAGTGAGTGAGTGAGTGAGTGAGTGAGTGAGTGAGTGAGTGAGTGAGTGAGTGAGTGAGTGAGTGAGTTGCAGAGTGAGTGAGTGAGTGAGTGAGTGAGTGAGTGAGTTGCAGAGTGAGTTGCAGAGTGAGTGAGTGAGTGAGTGAGTTGCAGAGTGAGTGAGTGAGTGAGTGAGTGAGTGAGTGAGTTGCAGAGTGAGTTGCAGAGTGAGTGAGTGAGTGAGTGAGTTGCAGAGTGAGTGAGTGAGTGAGTGAGTTGCAGAGTGAGTGAGTGAGTGAGTGAGTGAGTGAGTGAGTGAGTGAGTGAGTTGCAGAGTGAGTGAGTGAGTGAGTGAGTGAGTGAGTGAGTTGCAGAGTGAGTGAGTGAGTGAGTGAGTGAGTGAGTGAGTGAGTGAGTGAGTGAGTTGCAGAGTGAGTGAGTGAGTGAGTGAGTGAGTGAGTGAGTGAGTGAGTGAGTGAGTGAGTTGCAGAGTGAGTGAGTGAGTGAGTGAGTGAGTGAGTGAGTTGCAGAGTGAGTTGCAGAGTGAGTTGCAGAGTGAGTGAGTGAGTGAGTGAGTGAGTGAGTTGCAGAGTGAGTGAGTGAGTGAGTGAGTGAGTGAGTGAGTTGCAGAGTGAGTGAGTGAGTGAGTGAGTTGCAGAGTGAGTGAGTGAGTGAGTGAGTGAGTGAGTGAGTTGCAGAGTGAGTGAGTGAGTGAGTGAGTGAGTGAGTGAGTGAGTGAGTGAGTGAGTGAGTGAGTGAGTGAGTGAGTACAGTTTACTCTACAATCAAGTGCAATAGTGATAATCAACAAGTATTTCTGTCTATAATATATACCACTTCGAATGTTACTGCTGTCGTTTCTTTTAATTTTTGTTAAATTAATTGATACCATTTCATCAACATGTGATCATAATATAGACGAATTTTGTTTTTAGGCTACTTCAGATATAGTGATATAAAGTGTAGCAACTCGGAATGTTACACAGTAATACCTGGTCCTATATTGATACTGATTGATTGATTGATGTTGATTAATCGATCGATGATTAATTTCTTAGTATTTGTCTACTTCTATTTGACTGATTTAAACGCAAACTTGAGCTGATTTACTAACTTCTTCGCTTATTTATACTAACTGAATGTGTGTACACCTTACTACTTGGATACTGGATTTTCAAAGATTTCAGTATACATGAGTGATATTATAATCTTATGAAGTTGTTTATATAAACGAAACATTTTAGCTTTCTAGTCCATTGTGCTGTTGATGTTCGTATGCTATATCCTACATCTTTAGGTTGGCAGGGTTCAAACAAATCGCCTACTTATCATTTGTTTGTCTAAGATAGCTAAGGTTTGCTAGACTACTATTTATACTTGATGATAATTGAAAGTGAACTGAAAATTTTGATCGCAGCCAGATTCGAACCAGTCACCACCAGGTTTTCGACTTGATGTTCTACCAACTGACCATTATTATTATTATTTGTCTCTTGGGTTCCTAGTGGAACATAGGGCTTCAGTAGTCCGCCTTTATTGCTCTCTCTTCTCTGCAGTCTTTTCAACCTGGCGTTACAACTATCAACAAGCTTTCATTTCTTCCTCACCTGATCTTCTTCATGTCACCCTCAGCTGGGATGCCCAACTTGTCGTTTCTCCCTTTGAATTCCACTCGAGGTTACAAGATTTTTATTTCACTTCAATCATCATGAGTTGTACCCGACTACCATGTGACTAGGCAGTCAGTGTGATTACGATTAACCGGTAGTAATGTGTCACGAATTCACATGGTTGTTGGGTAAAAGAACCCATAGTGATTGAAATGAAATTTAAAAAAACTTATGAGCAATCAGACCTTGTAAGTCAGTTAGTAGAGCATCGAACTGGAAACTGCGGTGATCGCTGGTCTAAATTTTCATTTCACCTTCAATTATCACTCAGTATAAATAACTTACTGTCATTCACTACATTTTAATCAGTAAGAAAGATAATCCTTCAGTTAAGTGTCGTTTTTTTCAGCCGGATGTTCACATTGTTCTCTGTTGGACGATTCATTGATGCATGCATCACACACATACACTTTGTGTTTAGTTTTCAGTAAATGTAAATCTCTGGCTTGTTGATTCGACTCCTGAAGTATCTACTTTAATCTGATTTACACTGTGTTGTCAATAATGTTTGCTTATTGTATTTTTTTTTACCTGTAACCAATTCATGTACACATTCTGACGACTTTAGCGTTGAATGACCGAGTTTGGAAAGCTTGAAGAGAATGTGAACATCTTGAAGAATTCAGATACATTTTACTGTTGAATATCAATAGGTTTGTTTGTACCTGAAAATAAATTTCTAACACCTAGTACCAAAACGCTATATAGGATTGAATGAACATATTATAAAGTGTTATCCTTAGACCTTGATTTGTACTAACCACTTGGAATTCAGGTGAACGTTACCAGATAAGGAAGCCAAGTTAATTAAGGATGTTGCAAACCTTCAGAAACTAAGGTGGCTTGCACATGCGTTGTGCATACTGAATTATCACCTATCTGGACATGCCATGTTAAGAGGAATTTGATTAGGTTGGAAAACGGTTCACGGTAGCAAGACAGAGATACATCACTAGTGCTTGAAGTCTCTGGACTGGGAGCCTCGAGACAATAGAAGTGATTAACGATTCTTGGTGATACGGCTGAAAATAGGTTACAAGGCCGCAGATGTATTCACTCTTTGATGTCTCGCGAAGCTTAATTATTTTGCCTTACCTAAATTTTCAAGTTCTTTCTCCTCTTATACGCCTCCATCCACTTTGATATCGGTCTTCTCTATCCACCTGTTCTTTTTATACTACCCTGATATATGGTAACTTGAACTGTGATCCACTTGTATGCGTACTTCTATATTGTTTTTGTTTGTCTGTATGTCTGTCAAGTAGTTAATTATAAAGTTGTCGGCAAGAGTCATTGTTAGCTAGTTCTCATGACCAGATAACATGAAATGAGTTAGTCTCTATTGGTCAATCATTGTATTTAATCCAGTCCTACAAGAGAACGTTGATCTCCAGTTGAATAGCTGAATGTTAACCTCAGTGACTGCAACATTGGATGGTGGAGGTTCATATCTCAGAGGGGAAATCAGTCCTCTCAAGGTTGGAGATACGTCTTGCTGCCAGTTACCAACAAACACGAAAGTGAGGTGGAGCAGGGCTATTTGTCAATTGCCTTCAACTATTAAATGTCGAATTATCGTCAAATGTTTATGTGAAGCAGTGTTTAAGTAAGATTATTCAATACAGCAAAATGTTAGATGGGTTCCTACGTGGATCCCTCGATACTGCTGATTATTCATGATGTTATATTGATCTTGGTGACTAACAGATAAATCCAGGATGCGCGTTCCGTCCTATTCGGCTGGATGCACCTGCATCCGAGTGCGGAGTGATGTTGTTTTCACTGAAGGCTATCCACTAAGCCACTAGAACATGATAACTACCACGAAACGCGTGTCCTGGATTCCTCTACTATTCATCTAGATCAATATAACCTGTCCTATTTTATTTTCTTTCATCTATACATTCACGGTTAAGTGGTCACACAATGAAATGTGTCCATAGTTGCATTTTCAACTATCACTCTTCATGACTGAGTGTAGTCCAGAGGAAATTGACAAGAAACTTCATGTTTTTACATTTTATAAAAAATAGATATTGGGTTAGTATGCAAAAGATGTATCCTACCCTCAGCGTACTGTGTGTATACAAAACATATTTGAGAAAAAAAGAAGAAAACAGTGACACATCGTTAAGCTACATCTTTCCTGTTATTTATTCATTTACATATCGTAATCCACACAACAACCACATATATTGAATTTTCAGGGAGTTATGAAGATTTGGAAATATTTCAAGTTGTTATTCATCGTAGACTGGCATCAGTTGGAGGAACAAAAGGGACCTGAGAGCACTGGACAGCTGTTTCGTCCTATTCTGGGACCCCTCATTAGTGTGCACCCACGACCCTCCTCTCCAGGGATCGAACTCGCAACCTTCAGGTTCCGTGACCACTGTGGAGTCCCATACTAGGATGAAACAGCTGTCCAATGCTCTCAGGTTTCCTTTGTTCCTCCAACTGATGTTAGTCTACAATGTTTGTGCAGCAGTCATTGAGTCACATCCTGTTGGATAAGATCTGATTATACCCAAACTTTAGCTAAGTGGATCGTGACCTGACCACACTATGTAAACGTTGAGTATCTAGACAAATAGAATGACTTTGATTTTCATCTTTGATTAACTTTCATCAAGTTTATTTTGTTTTAATTTTATAGTTGTTGTTGTTGTTGTTTGTTTCATACAGTTTTTCCAGAATTACCTTGGCCTGGTTGTCGAGAATTTCATTGTTCACGAGATAACTGGTTGAAAGAAATAAATCCAATCCATTTTGGCAATAATAAACAGTATAAAATGAATTCATATACTGTCGATGAAAATCAGTTTATACTACTTGATTGTAGTTTATTCAAATCTGTGAACACATCAATTTTACAAAGTGTTGCTATTCTTAGACTAGGTGATGTTAGTATTTCACGTGTATCCTATCCTGGGAATTCATCATCTTTTCAATCGAAAACATCACAGATTAAAAGTTTTCTACCCACTTCTGCAACAGATAACATTCGGATACATATGGAAGTTCCTGTAGATAATAATAATAATAATAATATTTTTATTGGATCAGATAAACTTTTACATAATCTTCCAGATACATCATCATTTCTTACAGTGGAATTAAGAAATCATTATCATGTTGATACATTGAATTCAGGTGGATTAAATCGATGTAAGCTATTTTTCTTTTCAATATCTTTTAAAAACTCTATCAGTATGTATTATTGTTTTACAAATGTAAATTATTTTTCTATTAGGTGACAATTGAAGTGGAAATGAAAATCTGGTCAACAGTTGAACCTTTAGTTGGTAAAGTATCAGGTTGAAAAACACGTGATTGCTCATTCGAATGAGGCTGTGGTCGAAATTATCATTCCACTATGAATTATCACTCAGTATTAATAGTAGTCTACCAAACCACGGTTATTTGTACAGAGTAAAAACAAGCCATATTAGGCGCAGTTATATTTTCAAAAATGAAGTGAAAACTATGGACTGTAAAGAAATCGATATTGGAATGATATATATTCAGTAGAATGATATAATGGTGAACGAAAAGATAACGAATAAGATGACATGAGTAACTTTTAGTCTAGTGAACGCCATGTGAGAAGTAACACTTGCATACATTCTTTCTCAATGTAGAGTTCAGGTTGATCAATCTTATTGTGACAGACTCTGTTATCTTGAGCAAGTGTTGGCGAGCTACATGTCGTATCGTTTTTGGAACACGATGGATGACATTGAAAACTTTATTAACATCTATGTCCTACCCTGTGTCGATTAGATACGATACGACTGAACTTTTAACCACTTTCATTTCTCCCTTTCCGAACCAAACTGATAAATGCTCTCGTATCCTGAGCATGGTTATTATTATTTGTCCGTTGGGTTCCTGGTGTAACATAGATCTTCAACAGCACGTCGTCATTTCACTCTCTTCTCTACAGTCTTCTCAACATGGCTCCACTACTCCCCATAACGTTTTATTTCTTACTCATACGATCTCCTACATGTCACCACCCTTGGACGCTCAACTCGTCGTCTCCCATTTGAGTTCCACTCGACGGCGTGATCTGGCCTGACTCGTGATGTCCCCAAATAGTCTTCTCAGTCTATGCCCAATACAGTCTAATCCATGTCCACTTTCTCACTATGCATATTTGTTGGACGATAGGTTGTTGGTTGGTTCGTTGCCAGCCAAGCAGAGTTCCTCCTTGCTTATTCTTATTATTCTGCACTGGCCATCTGATCTGCATCTTGAATATCGAGTGATGGTGAGAGGCAGCTCTTTGTGTGATGTATGTGTACAATTTGTTGTAAATGCTTTTGGTAAGGCGTCAGGTCTGTGAACCATTACATGAAAGCACTGACTTGACTGAGTTTGTGTTTGAAATCCGGATGTTGTTCACGCCTCATGATGGGTATAGTGTAGTGTAGTGTAGTGTAGTGGAGTGGAGTGGAGTAGATCTTCACACTGATTTCGGTTAGTGAAGTCGTGTCTTGCTGTCTTTCCGATCCTCCCTTTCCCATCATGATCTGTGCCTATGCCGACTGAAAGAGGCAACTTCGTTTAGACTTCTCCCGTTGATAGGGATTGATGTTTGTTGTTGTTGTTGGTAGTGGTGGTGGCAGTGGTTGAAAGTTCATCATCTCTGTCTTCTCCACGTTCACCTGAAGGAGGTTCCGTCTTACTTTGCTAACTCGCCTCGTCTCACCTTTTCTGCCAGCTTCTTAGTTTTCATCTGTACATTTTCGAGGTTGTGCGACATAACACTTTAGACATAAATCATCATCATTGGCGAAATCCAATGTTCTTGTGGTGTCTTTTCATCGTCCAGCCAGGGGATGCCCGTTTTCTTACTCCTCACAGTTTGTTGCATCATCCAGTCCAGTTCAGGTTAGAATAATAAGAATAAGCAAGGAGGAACTCTGGCTGGCTGGCAACGAACCAACGAAGCAGGAACCTATTGTCCGACAAATTTGCATAGTGAGAAAGTGGAGATGCATTGTATTGGACATAGACTGAGAAACTGTTTGGGGACATCATGTGTCACGAGAGACTAGGCCGTGGAGTGGGACTCAAATGGGAAACTATGATTTGAGCCTCCCAGCTGAGGTTGACATGTGGCAGATGGTGTGATGAAGAAATGGACGCTTCCGGACAGTCATGAAGCTAGGTTAGTAAAATTATAGAGAAGATAGTGAAATGGCGACGTGGTACTGCAGCCCCATGTTCCACTTGGAACCCTAAGGACAAATAATAATATTTATAATAATTCCTCAAAAATCATTTCAACAACACATTGAATATAGACCATACGACACCGATCCAGTGGCTCACTGGTAACGTACTGGCAGCGGAACCTAAAGGTCTCCGATTCTCTCAGGTTCCTGAAGGTTTTTCCAACTGATATCAATTCATAATGGATACCAACCTGAAATTAAACAATAAATCCTCTTAACCTCTAAATTGAATTACTGTCTAGTGCTTACTAGTGACTTTCTTCGAGAGGTGATTCCCGAAGTACCTATGAAAAGTTATGACCGATGGGGTTTAACCAAGTCGAACATGAGAATAATCGTTCAACGACGCCATTGGTTGGAGGTTGCACTATATCGTAAACTGACAAGTAGAAAATATGAATTGTTAGATACTGACTCAGTGATTCAATCATAACGTGCTGGCAGAAAAAACCTGAAGGTCTTGGGTCTGATACCTAATAGGGTTGTGATTGCGCACTGCTGAAGTCCCATGGTAGGATGAAACAGATGTCCAGTCCTCCTAGGTTTTCAATGGTTCTCCAACCGATGTCAACCCATGGTAGATATCAACCTAGCATCGAATATTGTTATGTTAACTGTGTTTATTGTAACAAGCTAGTAGTTGAATACCAAAATGTAAAACATAATACCACTTTATCTAGGTGTTGTTTAGCAAAAGATAGTCTACAATCTGTCAGATGTTTACTTGATATACAGGAGCCTTTCTCCTACTAATAACTTCTGTTACAAAGAAAAAGCAAATTTCGTGCGTTCTTGGAAATGTCCAGGTGATTAACGCTTCTTGATATTCCACATCGTTTAAGTCGATATCTGTTTGAAGTATCTAAATGAGAAGTGGGATTGTTTTACATGATGCCAGTATCCAATAGTGTTCTTCGTGATATTGACTAAGTAAGACGTTTTCGAGGATGCTGGTGTTTTTAGGGTTGTATACGCTTCCTTTTTTACCACCACCAATACAACTTCATCCCCAGTTGTCTCTATCACAGTAGGAATTATTAACACAATGATAATAGCTACTTTCAGCTTTACCATTAGCCAACTAACATTTATAACATGCTGAGATCCTCAGAAGTGTTTCAACCCATGTTGATCACCTCAATATACTATCTGAACTATAACATCAGGTTGATATGTGTTGATTATGCCTTGGAACACGTGGAAACACTTTTTTCTAACTAACGTGTAAAAACAGACAAGAATTGACGACGATAGGTAATTTTTCATTGGGTCTTGTGTACTGCTTGAAGTATACAGGTGGTTAACACTTCCCGGCTACCCACACTATGGAAGGATTCTTCTGTTTAGGGTATCTGAAACAGGAAAGAATTTGTGTGACCGCTGAGATCATCGGACACTTCTCACACACAGATATTCGCTAGTTGTTGTCTTGAAACGTCGGATACAGAAACGCCGTACCGCTCTAGGGCAGGAAGCAATGTGCTTTTCCTTCAGACAACCTTTTCTCATCTCCCATTCCCATAGGGAAAGCAGCATCAGTATGGCAGTGCTGGCTATCTACCGGAAACACCCTACTACAGTCATATCTCATCCAGCTAGCAGCAGTACGATTTCGCCCTCACTTACCTGTAAAGTACTCTTTGTCACATTTGTTGGTTGGTTCGTTACCAGCCCGCCAGCCAGTCAGAGTTCCTCCTTGCTTATTCTTATTATTCTATTCTGCCATCTGATCTCCATCTTCAATATCGAATGATCGTAGGCGGCATCTTTCCACGTATGTCTGTAGTTTGTTAGAAATGTGTTTCGTAAGACGCCAAGTCTGTGAACCACCACATAGAAGCACTGACTTGACTGAATTTGTGTTTAAAATCCGGATGTTGTTCACGCTTTATGCTGAGTTCAGGTTAGTAAAGGTGTGTCTTCTTGTCATTCCGATCCTGGTTTTGACATTCTCATCTGTGTCGTCGCCTGAACTTGAGACGATGCTGCATAGGTATGTGTGGTTGAAAGACAACTTCGTTTAGATTTCTCCGTTGATGGTGATTGATGCTTCTTGTTGTTGTTGGTGGTGGTGGTAGTAGTGGTTGAGTATCTTCATCACGTCTGTCTTCTCCACGTTCACCTCAACGTAGTCGTGTCTTACTTTGCTGCCTAGCCTCACCTCGCCTCACCTCTTCTGCCAACTTCTTAGTTTTCATCTGTACATTTTGAGGTTGTGCGACATAACACTTTAGACATAAATCATCATCATTGGCGAAATCCAAATGTTCTTGTGGTGTCTTTTCATCGGTCAAGCCAGCGGATGCCCGTCTTCTCACTCCTCACAGTTTGTTGCACCATTCGGTCCAGTTCAGTCCAGTCCAGTCCAGTTGACCACAATCAGAAAGATGATCGTCGAAAGTAGACGGCAACCTTGTCTTACTCCTTTCCCCTATCTTCACTTCGAACACATCACTGAGTTTTCCATTGTGAATCAGTTGGCATATAGCCTCATCATATAGTATAGCATACAGGTGCTGTTGAATGAGGTTGATAAAGGTTTGTGGCACAAAAAGTGTTGTGTTGAAGCAGCTGCCTGCCAAATTACTTCTCGGTCGACGCCTCTGTTGAAGTCCTTTTCCAAGTTGATGAAGTTGGTGTGGGGTAAAGAGTTGCCATTCTGTTATTCTATGCTGTGTTCTACTATGATGATGCGTGGCGTAGCGTAGCGTTGTAATTTGATCCGCACATGTTTTGTTTTTCCTGAAGCCAGTCAGTCAGACTGTTTCAGTGGTAATTTTGAATGCAGAGGATTATTAAGTCCTTCTAGGATGATGTGGCGTAATATTTTGTTTTGGGGTGGACAGAGGTGGATCATGATTGTGCGCCGGTTTTTGCAAAGACTTAGGTCTTCGTTTTTTGGGAGTTTGACGAGTTAGCCCTTCTCCAATTAATCGGCAGATACCTTACCTTCCTTCCCTCTTTACTTCCAAAGCTTCTGCAGTAATGGTGTGAGCATGTCTGCTGATGTCTTT